TACAAAATGTGGCCCCGTGTCCTTATCTATAATGGGCAGCCAGCAGCAGCAGCAGAGCTGGCCGCAGCAGCAACAGCGTAACATTTTAATTGGGAGGCATTTTCTGCGTCTCGATTTTAAATGTCCTGTCTCGGCAAAGGGAAAAGGCTTTCAAGTAAGATGGGCACCATGGCAAAGGAGAGGAGTAGGGAGTGTGTGCATGTCCACCCAAGATGCCAGAGGGGGTGCTCCCAGATTGCCTTCCTCTGCCATTTAAACTGTGTCATCATCTGTAACAGCACACTAGGTACCCATGACCAGAGCACACCTATAACGTGAGTAGAAAAACACAGGTATGGTTTCTGCTCCAAGATAACCCAGCAGGACCTGTGTGGCACCTGATGTGTCTTGAGCCTGGCACTAAGGCCTGTGACAGTGGGGACACAGCGGAGCCCACAGCCATGATCACACAGGACTTTAACATGCGGGACAGACCATTGCTCTGCTGGATCTGACGATATTATCATGCTGGGGAACCCGATGCTGGGGCCCCACGGCGGGACACAAGGAAAGTGGAGAGCAGCCAGGTAAACAAAGACAAAAGCAGCGACAGGGAATCTGCTTCAGTCAGGTTCTTCAGAGAAGCGGAAGAGAGAAGGCTCTGAGGGACGCACGGAGAAGCCGATGCTAGGCTTCGGCTCCATGACCATGGAGGCAGAGAGGCCCAAGTTCTGCTGCCTATGAGCCAGAGACCCAGAGGGCTGAGGTTTCAGCTCTGGTCCAGACTGGAAGGCCCGAAGACCAGGGGAGCCAGCGGTATGTGCCAGAGTCTGCAGAGCCACTGGAAGGCACGAGAAGATGAGGCTGCTGCCCACAAGGACAGAGTGGCCTCAGCCTGCTCCCAGTCTTGGGCTAGTGTGGGCCCTGAGGGAGTGGATGAGGCCTACTGACCCTAGGGACACCTTCTTTGCTCACTTTACTGAGATGGACGCTTACTTTTCCCAGATGTGCACACCCAGGAACAACGGACCACCCCGAGCCTGGTCAAGTTGGCCCTTAAAAGTGACCATCACAGAACTGTCATCAGGTTTCGAGATCTACCGTTTGGAAAAACGCACATGATGGAAACATGAAGGGTACACTGCCCACCCTCAGGGAGCTTCGGATATGGTTTTACTCAGGTATGACGCTTAGCTCTCCCATGAAGTGGATTTCTTATGCCAAGTGACAGAATCTGGACAAGACCAAGAAGCTCTGTTTTAAAGGAAACTGTGGGGAAACCTCAGGGCCTGTTCATCCAACTCCCCACACGAATCCACTTCTCCTGGCACAGAAGTCGCCATGATGTGGCAGGGGCCAGGCCCCTTTCTCCCGCACCCTGAGCCCTCCAAGTGTGCCCAGTGCGTGATGCCATCACGGCTGTCATGTGCGCCTTCGCGTGCACCCTCACCACAAGTCCCCATCAGGGCGGAACTGTGGCCGTCCTTACTTTATAGATGGGGACATGAGGCACAGGACTCTCCCGTTCCCAGAGCTACTGAGCCAGGAAGTGTAGAGGCTGGAAGACAGCATGGGCCGACCTGGTTTGGCTGTCCGCATGAATTTCTCCTGTGACCAGAACCTGCTTGATGGGGAATTCTGTCTCCACCATGTAGCTCAGCTGGGATCCCCGTGATCAGTCACTGCATGGAAACTGCCGACCCTAAACGGCACAAGCAGCCACTGCATGACACTTGCAGAGTTCTTAGGGCAGGAGTTTAGAGTACCAAGGGGTGACCTGTTCCCTCTCCACAGTGCTTGGGGCCTCAGCTTGAAAGATGCCATCAGATGAGCCGAGCAGGCGTGTCCAGTGACACACCTGACACCGCCCTGGCTGAAACACCACCAGCCTGAGACATGACCCCAGCATGCTCCACCTGACTTCCCTGGGCAAAGTTCCGAGGTGTCACCCAAGAGGGGATATTTCCAAAGTAAGAGTCCAAGTAAGCCAGATGGAAGCCTTGCACAGTCCAGCCTGGACCATCAAGGACCCGTGCTTCCCCAGGCTCTGTTGGGAATCTGCAAGGTGCAGTGGGAGGGGCCTCAGGCCAAGCCCTCGGTATCCTCCATGGCCTGGTTTCCACATGTGTGCACACGTTCTTGTTGCTAGGAGTGTGGCGGCTCAAGTTGCAATGCACAGGGCGCCGTGGTTAATAAACCCATGTCCATTATGATGATCTGCAGGTTCTGTAACCGCAAATGTATTTACTGCCTTAATTTAGGTGCCAGCATTAGGCGTCTTTTAAAGTGTTTTCTCTCCATTTGGACGGAAGTTTTAAAATCTCAGCTTATCTGCAGTGTCAATTAGCTTAGAGTTCCTCAGCAGTGGAAGCCCAGACTCTCTCTGTCTCCCCGTTAATCTTCTGTAAGTTGATCTTTGTGGCCATTGACAGCAATCATCACGGCAAGCTGTCGTTTTATATTAGTGTGACCGTCCATTTAGCTGAACCAAACTCTGTATCCGTACGGAGATTAAAGTTCTTTGTCAGTTTAATAGTTTATAGGGTTCTCTCCCCGAGCACTGGCCTGGAGTTCAGATGGTCCACGAAGAACAAAGGGAAGCTAGTAATGCGCTTCTTAGATTTCCTCTTGACGCAATCCTGGGGCTCCTTGGCAAAATCACTCCCAAGGAGAATCACAGGGCCAGGGGATTCCTAAGAGACACCACACTCTCTAAGATGAGCTGTAATGTGCAGTTCCCCATGGGTGGATCTAAAGACTATTTGATCATGTTCTACAAAAACCAGAGCCTTGTTTCCCCCATGCCAGTCCCCCAAGGTCTGATGTGTTCCGAGGCGGGGATTTGGAACCTGAGTGGATTGTGAGGTGCAGTACCCATCGCTGGGTTTCCCCACTGAGAGTTCGTGGCTAACTGCTATGAGGCGGTGGGGCTGCTGTAGGGGCCACTGGGGGCTGTGACACCGAAGGGTCTGCTCTTGTCCCCAGATTTCTCTTCCTCCTTCCTGGCTGCCATGGGCTGAGCAGCAGCTTTCCTCTCCAGGGCCTTCCGCCACAATGCTTCTGCCTTGGAGTCAGCCAACTATGAGTTCAAACCCCCCAAAACCATGAACCATACTAAACCTCCTCTCTTCTAAGCTGTAGGTATCAGGTACTCAGTGATGGGAAAGCTAATGCATATGCCAAAAGACTGCAAATCAACAATACAGGCCATCTTATGAGGAAGGAAAAGAGCAGGTTGAAAGGGTGAGGAAAGTAGAACGGTGCAGCTAAATGGAAAGGGGAAGAAGAGACAGGCTGGCTCTCAGCCAGCCAAGGTCCCAGAAGTCCGGGACCACACTAGCCTCAGGAGCACACGCACACCTCCACCCCTCAGGCCCTGCCCGCCCACCCCAGGCAGGGGCTGCAGGTGAGCAGGTCTGCATCTGGCTACCAGACGGAAACAGTGCCTGGCCGGCCCCCTGGGGGACAGTCTACCCCTGCACATCTGTCCCCAGGGTGCTGGCTGCCTCAGCCCATTTGGGGAAGGTGGGGCCTCTTGGTGGATGCTCAAACTGCTAGTGATGATTCCAGCTGTGTCATCAGTGTGGACAGACTGATGCAGCGTGCATGGCAAGTGACAGCCTGGACATGAGCCGGGTCCAAGGTCTTGGAGGAGAGATGGCCAGAGAAGGCCAGAGGGCAAGTCTTGTTCTGCCCACTGAGGCAAAGCTGGCTGGGCAGGGTGGGCAGAGAATAAAAGCCTCTCCTCAACTCTCAGAGGCCATTTCCTGGAGCCACACTGGCAAGGAGACACACAGGATGGAGAGACCCCACTGATACCTGCCAATGGCACCTGAGACCCCTGCCCTTGCAGCCTTTCCAGAGGAGAAACAGCCAGTTGTCCTGTGTGCATTCTCCTGTCTGCTTATTGAACTCCCTGGCAGCAGAGGCCAGGCCTAAATCCCTGAGGACCGCCCTCTGAGCAGATGTGGGCAGTTATGCCCTGAATAGCTTGCCAGCCTTTCTAGGCCACGCCCTGTCCAGACCATGCTTCCTGCCACCCCCAATAGACAGGCTTGAGCTACAACCCCATTTCTCCACCTTGAGGAAACAGAAGCACAGAGGTGCCACCTAACTGGCTTCTGCCATTGTGGGAGCTCAGGAACACGGTGTCCATGTCCCATGGCACAGTCTGGGCATCTCGTCTTACAAAGCTGTTCTTGTGAGCCAATGCTGAACACCCACTTTCCTCCCTCACCCACAGGAACCCATGCACAGGACAAGGCCCAGCACAGCAATATCCACCCCCCTGCAGCACTGGGCTGCCAAGACACCAGCCCACCATTGCAGAGCCTGACGCTGCTGGGGGTGCGAGCCTAGCTCCTGCTGTGGGCCCCCCCAGGTAACTCCAGCCTGCACCTGGGTTCAGACAGCAGGTGAGAACTGGATAGGAGCCTGGGGACCTGAAGTCAACATTCTGGGACTCCGGTGCTACAAGAGATTCCCCTTCCTGGCCATCGGAGTCCCCACCACCTGACCCCAGTCCTCACATGCCCACCCACAGCTGGTCAGTGAGGGTCCCCTCCAACCAAGCAGCACAGGTGACACTCTGAGCACAGCGCAGGAGTGAGCCACTGTCTGTGAGCGAGTTATCGAGCATCCCAGGGAGTAATCACTGTGAAGTTTTAAAACACCCTCGGGGGCCGGGGAGGTTGCTCAGTGGCACATGCACCTGCCTGGCATGAGTGAGGTCGTGATCAATCCCTGGTATCAAAATAAATAAGTAAATAAATAAAAATGCCTTCAGCCTCTGAAGGTAGGAGAAGGAATAAGAAGGCGAAATGCTGACCATTTTGAAGCTGACCAGCAGAATTTGTGTCAGTATTCTGTTCCTGCTCCTGATTTTTTAAAATCCCATAATAAAAAGGTTTTACAATGAAAATAAACCCAATATACTCATTACCAGTGCAAATGACTGAGCTACAGGGAGGCATATATGCTCCTTGCAGGAAGAGCAGCTGTCACCTCTCACCTGGCCTGTCCCAGCCCAGGGTGCAGGCGAGGGCCAGGGACAGGAGCAGGGAACAGCTGTCCTGCTCCCTGCTGAGGCGACCCCCAGCCTCGCCTCCCAGGCCTGCGCCTTCGCCAGGGCTCAGCTCTGCTCTCCAGGAAGCAGTCTTGCAGTCCAGAGGAGAGGCATCTGGACGCCCGCATTGCCACCAGCAGCTCAGGGACGCGCGCGGGTGGAGGAGCGATCACGAGGAGGAGAGGGGGGCGCAGGCAGCGAGTCGCCCTTGGTCCTTCCGTCCTCGTCCTCTTCCTCTTCCTCTTCCTTTGGGGGGAGCACCCAGGCGGGGGGCGCTGGGTGGGGGCGGGAAGGATGATTGCTAGGCTGCCGCAGCCCAGGCCTCGGCCCGTTGGCCTCCCGTCACCCTCCTCCTTCTCCCCTCGCCCTCCGCCCTAGCTGCCGTCCTCCGGTCCCCGCGTCCCCTCCGCCCTCGCGGTCGCCTCCTCGCGTCCCGCCTCCGCCCAGCCGCCTCCTGCTCATCCCCGCAGCCGGGGAGCCGGGCGCCGGGCGCAGCCGTGGTTCCAAAGCCAAGCGCGGCCCAGCGCAGCGTAAGTGACCGAGCGGGTGTGGGCACGGGGGTCGCGCTGGCGGGGGGCGGATGGGTCTGGTGGGGGTCTGGTGCGGCCGGGCAGGGCGCGGATGTGCGGTTCGGCTCATTTGGGCTCCTCTCGCCGAGTGCAAACCCTGGCTCTCCGGGCAGAGGCCACGCGGGGACGGCGAGGCGGCGGACTGGCAGCGCAGAGACCCCGAGCAGTGCGCACCGCCGCCGCCGCCTCCATCGCGGCTGCCGCCCGGCAGGCCTGCTGCATCCCGCCCGCGCCGCCCAGCCACAGCCCCACGTGGGGCCCAGCGGGCTGGTCAGGAGGTGGGTCGGTCATAGCGGAGACCAGCAAGCTGCGTCTCCGTCACAGCAGAGCCTTAGGGGTTTTCAAACTTCCTGCCCGGACCTTGGCGTGTGGAATCCCAGCCGCAAATTAGAACACAAGAGAAGGGAAGCTCTGAGCGCGCCAGCCCCCAACAGGAGCGAAGCAGGTGTCCTGGGAGGAAATCGCGCCCTGGAGGCGCCCAGGGCTGTGCGGGCAGGGCCAGGCGTGCAGGTCGCGTCACACACGAAGTTCGCCCACACTTGTCCCCTGCCTGGCTTTGCGCAGCCTGAGGTGTGAGCCGGCTGGAGAACCCTGTGGGTCCGGGAGGAAAATTTACAGAAAGTGAGGCGGCCGCCTCTGCCCTTCCCCTACTGATCAGAAAACGCACCTCTGTGTTCACGGGGAGGAACCCAGCTGGACCATCCGAATCCTTTTTAGCACTCTTGGAGTTTTCCACCCTGAAAAGCACTAGAGCAGGCTCCTCGTTGTGCAATCTCAGCACTCTGGGTGGCTGAGGCAGGAGGGTCTAGCAGCACCCTGTCTAAACAAATGAAGCGGGAGAGGGGGATGTAGCTCAGTCTGGAGGCTCTGGGTTCAGTCCTCGGTACTGAGCAAATCAAAACAAAGGAAAAAACAAACGCAGGGCAGTGAGGCAACTCGGTGTGCAGCTTCCCCAGTGTCTTGTCTTGGGGGTGCCAGGAGAAGGGGCTGGGTATACTGAAGAGTGTGAGCCGCAGGCCAGCTACTGTCCCACTGTAAACTCAGACCTGCCCACCCTGTGACATGGGGCCTTCGTGTGTACGTAGTTTTGTAGGGAACAACTTCAAAATAATTTCTGTCCCTAAAAATATTTCAGGGCCTCAAATTTAAGGAAGGCATATTCCATCCACAGCTATTGCGCTTTTAGAGTGAAGACTTAAAGAATCACCGAGCTATGTCTTCAGTCTGGATCTTTGAAGGGTCATTTGTGTGCCAAGGAAGTTTTAAGCCTCGGGCTGTGTTAGTCCATTCTGTGACAGACACCTAAGGCAGGGCAGTTTGTAAACAGTATACATGGGTGTGTTTATCTTTTGGTACTGTGAATTGGCCTCAGGGCCTCTCCAGTGCTGCGAGGCTGAGCTGAGTCCACCCTTGTAAAAAGGCGTCTTGCAGAGCTGGGCCCCTGCCTCAACTCCCAGGTGCCCAGCAGCCAGGACTCCAGGCCACACTACAATGCAGGCTCTGGACCTTGGCTGTGAGGGGTGAATCCGTTCCTGCAGGTGAGCATTTCAAGCTGATGCCCTCTAACACCCACCTCTGAATACCCTGGTGCTGGGGAACAAGTGTGCCCAGGAGTTGGGGGCACAGGAGCACACAGAATGCAGCAGGTGGGCATCAAGCTGGTGGTTTCGTGAGTGGTTTCAGCACTAAGGCTGTTCCTGCATCCTCACCAGAGGCACACTGCGGCTGGAAAATAGCTCACTGGCTTACGTTTGTTTTTGGTGGTGCTGGGAATTGAACCCAGGTCTTGAGCGTGCACTCTATACCCCGGGCTATATCCACACACCTCTGCTTCTTTTCCCCTTGGTTTTTTGGGGGAATTTTTCTCTTGGTTTGTTTTGTTTTTTAGACAGGCTCTTGCTATGCAATTCAGGCTGAACTTGCTACATTGCCCAAAATGGCCTCAATCTCTAGGCAGTCCTCCTGCCTCAGCCTCCTGAGTGCTGAGATTATAGGCACATGCCGCCATACCCAGCTTGTTCTTTCGAGCTATGATTTCTGTATATTAAATGCACAATTCTTTGAGTACAGCTTGATGAAGTTTTCCCTTGGTAAATCCTGGAGCCTTTACTCTCAAGAAGACGGAATAAATTTGTCATTCTAAAACATTTCCTCATGCCCTACCCAATCGGTATGCCACGGGACGTAACCATGTTTGACTTTTGTCAACCCAGTCCTTTAGCATGTGTGGCCGCACCGAAGCTGAGACTGGCATGGTGTGTTCTGGAGCCCGGGAGGCAGGTGCAGAGGGCAGCTCTGCGGTGCTAGGAGCTGGGAGGCCACACAGATGCAGTTTGCTTGGTTGCTGGGGCTAGGGCTTCCTAGAGGATGAGGAGTTTGGAGCCGGCAACTGGGAAACGAGCTCCCATTGGGGTGGGAGGGAAGGAGAGCCTGTTCCCATGCAGAGGGCCGGGAGGGACGGAGAAGATCTGAGGGCCATCTGTGCTGGGGGTGCTGGGGCGACACCGGCCCCTTGATGGAGCCCCCACCTACCCCAAGGCAGAGAGGCCTTCTGGGTGAGCAGCCCCATGGGGCTCAACAAGCCACCCACTGCTGCATGATGCACACGCTGGAGGGGACAGTTGCAGGGACATGGGCACCAGGGGGGAGGCCAGGTAAGGATTGGAGATTTAGATGAGTGCAAGCTGGTGTCAAGTGGACTCGAGGGTGATCCCTGGGTGTCTGAGGGAGACCCTGAAAGAGGCCAGGTGGAGGGTTCCCTGGGAGCTCAGAGCCTACCCCTTGGTGTCTAAAAGCTGCTACGACCCTGACAGTGCAGATGCAGCGTGAGGTACAGCAGGTGAATGCAGTGTGGTGATCAAGTCAGGTGATCCGTGTTTCCGACTCCAGGGCGTTTCTTTGTTGGAGCCTTTGAGCACCTCTGTTCCAGTTCCCACCCACTCTTACAGGGGACAGCAAAGCGTGGTCATGGGCTGTGCTGTAGGACTCAGAGCACAGTCCTGTCTCTCCCTCCCCGCTGCACCCCTCGGGAAGGCGTTTGGTTACAGGGCGAGCATTGCTGTAGAATCCTCTTCACCAGGTGGGGATGGGAACACTGCATGGGCAGGTACATGCTGTCACTTGGGGTGCTGATGAGCTGGACTGCGACCCCAAGGTGAAGCCCAGGTGGAAGCGAAGCTGGAGGCTCAGCGCCGACTCGCCACTCCATAAGATTTGGGTGGAAGAATCACAGCCCAGGCAGAGGCCCGACGGGCTCAGGGACCAAGGAGGAATGGCAGGGGGGACAGGACAGGGTGGCAGGGCTTAGAGATCCAGGGCACAGTCCCCAAGGTCCCGGGCAACAGGGAAGCTGAGGAAGAGGGCTGGGGGTCGACAAGGTGATGCTTCTCAGGAAGGGACGGGACAGCATCGGAGCATCACGCTGGAACTTGTTAAGAACACACATTTGGGTGTCCCACCCACCCCCCTTGCAGGAGGACACCCATGTCTGAGTGGCAGGAGGACTGCTGAGGCGCCTTGGAGTTTGAGAGCGCTCACTGACCAAGCAGTGGCCAGCAACTGGGAAACTTGGGGAGGTATTTTCATAGGAGTGATGGCTCCTTTGAGAAAAACTTTCGAAGTTATCAGGATGTTAAGGTGCTGCTTTATTTCTCATTTAGAAACATCAGATGTTTCATTTGACTGCCGTCAGTGCTTTTCCTTCTCCTCTGTATGCTGGGTGATGGCTAAGTCCTGAAGTTTTGCTCCTACTCACCTTGCAGCCCATCACTCTGCAGACTCTCAGTGTCCTCGGGCGCCTGGTCACTGATGCTGGTCCACTGCCCTCCACTCTGAAACTGAGGAACAGAAATACCTGAGAGCAGGGGTGCTCAGAAGTGAGTCTCACACCGAATGGCAGCCTAGGGAGACCCCAAGATGGCTCCATGAGCTCTTGCACAAAGCTGCAGGACTCTGTTGGGAGTGAATTTCTAATTATTTGAACTTGTTATTCGTGGGAAGGAATTAGAATTGTGCCCTTTGCATCTCAAGTGATCCAGCAACACAAGCACAGTGATTGTGCTTACCATACTTAGGATAGAAAGGTCTCTAACTAACTAGGGCTTTTCCTAATCCTTTTGCTGTCAGCCCTGCAAGTATCTTACTTCAGTCCACAGGAAGAATTAGAGCGTATAGTTTTATTTTGCTATCATCAGGGAAAATCAATGGCAAATGAGGAGAACTTGATAGATTCTACTTTTACTGCTATCTCTGTTTAAAATCAGAGCTCCATTGTTTATAAGAATCAAATCTAGTAGGTGTTTTCTGCATCATTCAGTAACAAGGACAAAGAAAGTTCTCAAATGTTAAGTGGATGGGTAGACAGGTAGGAGGATGGGTGTGTGGATGGATGGCTGGATGAGTAGATGAATAGATGAATGGATTAGTAGGTGAATGGGTGGATATATGGATGATGAATGGGTGGATGAGTGGATGGATGAATGGATTAGTGGGTGGATAGATGGGATAGATAGGTGGATGGATGGATGGATTGGTGGGTGGGTGGATGGATGGGTGAATAGATGAGTGGATACATGGATGGGAGAGTGGGTGGATGGATGGATGGATGACTGAGTGGATGGATGGATGGATGGATGGATGGATGGACTGGAGGTGGGTGGGTGGATGGGTGAATGGATGAGTAAGTGGATAGATGGATGAGAGTGGGTGGATGGATTGATGGATGGATGACTGAGTGGATGGATGGATGGCTGAATGGGTAGACTAGTAGGTGGGTGGATGAGTGGATGGATGGGTGGATAGATAGATGAGCGAGTGGGTGGATGGATTGATGGATGGATGACTGAGTGGATGGATGGATGGCTGAATGGGTAGACCAGTAGGTGGGTGGATGAGTGGATGGATGAGTGGATAGATAGATGAGCGAATGGGTGGATGGATGAATGGATGGATGGATGGATTGG